GCCTTACAACTTCCTTCCCCATTTCCTACGTCATGGACCTCTTTCCATCCCTTCCCATAGGATTTTAGGATTGCAGATTCCTTATTCTAATCGTCTAAAAACAGTTTCCTCACTCCAGACTGCTCGCCTTTACTACTTCCTTCACCACTTCCTACGTCGCGGACCTGATTCCCTCCCTTCCCATAGCATTTTAGGATAGTAGATAACTTGTTTTAATCGTTATTAACAATTCCCACACTCCGGACTGCTCAGCCTTGCTACTTCCTTCACCACTCCCTATGTCGTAGACCTGTTTGCTGCCCTCCTTCTTTATACTACTTCAGAATTGCAGATACATAAATGCCACAGACGGTTCCCACACTCTGCACTGCTAGCATTACTACTTCCTACACCATTTCCTACGTCATGGACCTGTTTTCCTCCCTTCTCGTAGCATTTTAGGATTGTAGATACCTTAATGTAATTCCCATAAACAGTTCCCAGACTCCAGACTGCTCGCCTTTACTACTTCCTTCACCACTTCCTACGTCGCGGACCTGTTTCCCTCCATTCCCATTACATTTTAGGATTGTGGATTCCTTAATCTAATCGTCATAAACAGTTTTCACACTCAAGACTGCTCGCCTTTACTACTTCCTTCACCACTTCCTACGTCGCGGACCTGTTTCCCTCCATTCCCATTACATTTTAGGATTGTGGATTCCTTAATCTAATCGTCTTAAACAGTTTCCACACTCCAGACTGCTCGCCTTTACTATTTCCTTCACCACTTCCTACGTCGCGGACCTGATTCCCTCCCTTCCCATAGCATTTTAGGATTGTAGATAACTTGTTTTAATCGTTATTAACAATTCCCACACTCCGGACTGCTCACCCTTGCTACTTCCTTCACCACTCCCTATGTCGTAGACCTGTTTGCCCTCCTTCTTTATACTATTTTAAAATTGCAGATACATAAATGCCACAGACGGTTTCCACACTCTGCACTGCTAGCCTTACAACTTCCTTCCCCATTTCCTACGTCATGGACCTGTTTTCCTCCCTCCCATTACATTTTAGGATTGCAGATACCTTAATGTAATCGTCATAAACAGTTCCCACCCTCCAGACTGCTCGCCTTTACTACTTCCATCACCACTTCCTATGTCGTGGACCTGTTTTCCTCCCTTTCCATAGCATTTAAGGATTGCAGATACCGTAATCTAATCGTCATAAACAGATCCCACACTCCACACTGCTACCCTTGACTATAGAATCTAGTAATCTTCAGTGTAATCTTTGCTCAATAGTAACAACTGATGTTTTTCCTTTTGTACTGTATTTTGTTTTGCTAGTGGATAGACAAATTACAAGCTACAAGTCTTTTGTTTACTTTTTCCTTGTTATTTAATTCAGCCAACATGGTTACCTAGCAACCCATAAGACTAATGTTAAAAAAATGTGATTTTCAATTTCATTTTTCTACGTAATTAGATTTTTGATGGCAGTTCTAATTGCAGTAAACTCGTTTTTAGGCCAGAAATAAATTATATACAACATTTGAAGAAAATCGTCGGAGCCGTTTTCGAGATCTTGGTGCAAGCATACATACAAGCAAACATTGCTCGTATTAGAGTATAGGATATAGAATCTAGTAATCTTCAGTGTAATCTTTGCTCAATAGTAACAACTGATGTTTTTCCTTTTGTACTGTATTTTGTTTTGCTAGTGGATAGACAAATTACAAGCTACAAGTCTTTTGTTTACTTTTTCCTTGTTATTTAATTCAGCCAACATGGTTACCTAGCAACCCATAAGACTAATGTTAAAAAAATGTGATTTTCAATTTCATTTTTCTACGTAATTAGATTTTTGATGGCAGTTCTAATTGCAGTAAACTCGTTTTTAGGCCAGAAATAAACTATATACAACATTTGAAGAAAATCGTCGGAGCCGTTTTCGAGATCTTGGTGCAAGCATACATACAAGCAAACATTGCTCGTATTAGAGTATAGGATTAAAGAATTTAGTCAGCTGTTTCAACTAAAAAGTTGGTTCTATGATATTCAAAAGCATTACCTAAAAGTTATAAAATTTACCAACAGGATGCAGCACTATTATTCTTTTTTCATTTATGAAAACAGCTAATTTGAACACGGCGCACACCGCTGTAGTTTACGTAGCGCATACGCCATATTTACATAACGCTCCAAGCGGTCTGCGCCAGAACCTATGGTAACCGCAGCACAGCTGACGGTCTATATTTAATTCTTTTTGTCTATGTTTGGACTGAGCAGCAACAAAAAACTGTGATATGCAATGAAAACTGTCAAATTAGGATTGTTTACAGTTATGTTTATGTTTTTAATTTCATTAATAATTTGTGATATTTTGGGAATTTAATAATTAATTTTTCCCTATTGTTTAGGTGAAGTAGCAGAACATTATGGCTATGGTTGATGTGTAATACTATTATATAAAAAAATAAAGAAGCAAATTTGATCAAACTGTGCTCACCCCCATTGCAAACGAAAAGCTTGAGTATAGCTACAATAAGCATTTATATTTCTATGCCAATCCCGTACGAAGGACGGGTACTCTGCTAGTACATAATATAAGTCTCATATGGTAATACCTAAACCTGGAACCGATTTACTTTTTCGTTTTGAATGTCCCCAATATTCCTTATGGTTTACTTGTTTATGGATATATTTTGATCAAACTTGCAAAATTTATTTATTTTCAACTAAGCTATCAATATTTTTCTAAAAAAACACACTTTATTACCCTCCCTGAAGCAGCAAACCTGTACTCATTAAACACCTACAGTGTAATGTTAAGTATAGAGTGAAAATAAAATTAGGCAAATGGAAATTTGCTTAGTCGGTAGGTTTGCTGGGGTGGGGGTGTTTTTAAATAAGATATTCTGTTCAAACGAAAAGTTTTTTAAAGTATTAAGGATATGACAATAGTTTTTTTGATATTTTTTAAGGAAACAGTGGAAATTACAATTTGTACATGTATTGAACTACCGGTATTTTGAAATTTAGTTTACAAATCGAGTTTAAGTATTTTAACATACAATAGTGCTACTTACTTATCACTTATTATCTTCTGCACTTAGTTTACCCAAGAGAATTTTCCCCTTATCTGAATTTGAAGACAAGAATTCAACTACAATACATGGTAACTTGTTTCATTTTAAGTTGACAAGTATATTTTTGTTTCTAGAGTAAATTACATAATATGTGTAACTATTTCATACAGAAGACCTAGAGCTGCAATATTCTCTTTCAAGGACCCCCCATCACCACCCCCACCCAATAGCAAAGAATGGGTATAGTAGCTTGCACAAATACTAGAAAAATACCAGTATTGGATCATAAACATAAACAAATGACGTCGGCCCGAATTCTATACTAATAGCATTGAACATATGTTTTGGCAGTTCCATTTAAGCAATGTTAAATCAAGTTTATTTTCGCGCCCAAAACGTCATTTGTTTATGTTTTTTATGATCCATACCGGTAATTTTCTAGTATTCTTAGTATAGCTTTGTAATTGAATTAAAAGAAAACACTTGATCAAACCATGTGATTCAGTAAATTTGTTTTCATTTGTAAAACTTAAAGCGGAAGTGTTACTATCGTTTGATGACTAGTCATTAATATAAATAGTGGTAAATATTATTTAGATAACCGTTTAAGGGTATTTCTGTAAAAGATACCCATTATATGTACAAAATTAATGACTCTCGCCAAATTCTATATCCGGTTTGGGACAAAATTCCGGGGGTTAAGCAGTGGCGGATCTAGAACAGTCACAAGGGGGGGGGGGGCAAACCGGGGGGTTCGGAGGTCGGGGGTACCTGCCCGAAAAATTTGTGTAAACTAAGTCTTCAAAATGGCAGTTTTATACCATTTCTTTGTCCAAAGTTAGTGTAACAAATTATTTTACACAATGTGTATTACATGGAGTAAATAAAACATGGGGAACCACAGAGCCACTGGGGCGGAGCCCGAAAGGAGCTTTGAGATAAAAATATGCCTATATGTTAATCTGGAATGTGAGCTATCATCATGCCAAATTTCAACCCAATCCATCCAGTATTTAATGTATGATTGAACTGTGAACTTCAAACAAACACACAAACTTTCACATTTATAATATTAGTAAGATGTATGCCTGAGGGGGGGGGGGCTGTCGCCCCCCTCTGGATCCGCCACTGGGGTACAGTAAAATTCCGAGCTGTAAATTTTGAGCTTAATTAAGTTGAGTTAACTCATGATAGGAGTAAAATTCCGACACTAGGTTTTATAGTTCTTACTGTTCTTACTAAATTCGCAGCCCTGAAAATATACTTTTTTATTCTACCTTTAATTTATTCAACTCATGTTGTGCAACCCAAAATTTTGCAGGCAGAATTTTACTCCCATCCCCAAGGCTGTGACTTATGTTTTGCTTTGGGGATAAAATTCCGCTAACCCCTAAAATTTGTAACCACAGGGGGTGTCTTTAAAATGAAGAACTTGATAGTTAGACAAATTTGTTGTTCAGTAATATTTTAGTTTATTATTTTGTTTATTAGTTAAATCACAGACAATAGACAAAGACCATTAATTAGTTAATTAATTGGTCTATAGTCTATGGTTACATATAATAAATTTAATTGTTGTTTTTTTTTTTTTTTTAAGAAACAAATGGAAAATAATTGATAGAACTTATTACTTCTTTATGTAAAACTTGAATTACAGAAAAACACTTGAGAGTAAATCCTCCCCTTTCCTCACACTTTTAATTTTAAATCATGTCTTTTTAACCTTGGGCCTTCCTATATTCGTGAACCATGGAATTCACAACATCTTCACTCTTCAGCCCAAGCCCATACAGTACATTTGATTCAATTAGGTAGATGCACTTATAAATAAAAGGACTTGCAAAATGGGATTCAATGAATACTAGTTGCTTTAACCTCACTTTTATTACATAAAAAATGTAACATAAAGAGTTAAAATCTGAGGACATGGGAAACTCCATTATCATCACCCAGGTTTAAAAACTATAACTTAATAACTAACAACTGTCTTCTAACAAAGCAGTGTGATGTCTAAATAGGCTAAATGCTTAAGATTAAATCAGTAAAAAAATACACATCAAATTATTAAAAGCTAAGTTTTACAAAATGTAAAAGTAACCAAAATGGTTATGAAATACAAAAAAATAAAAATTTCTAGCTAATAAATTACTAAAACCTGTACAATTCTAACTATTTTATCACAATAATTCATCTAGTGGATGATCTATAATATACAAGTAAGTATGTACATTCAAAAGCCACGATGGTTTGTTGGTTCACCATGAAAAAGAGCAGAATGGGTTTTTCCCACAAAGATCGAGTAAGATAAATATTAAATAAATTAAATAATAGATATTGACTCGGGAAAGTTTGCATTATAAATAAACTGATAGTTACAGGTTTCTACAGAAATAAGATTAATTTTTGTTAAGCCCTGCAGCTGCCGTTGCCATTGTTGACCCCAGTGTGATTCCTGTAAGGATGGTTCTCTGTGTTGATGGCCACCTTGGACTCTGTGTCATGGAGGTCAGCTATGGATGTCTTGGAGCTCCCGTTAGTCAGGGTCAGCCTGCTGTCAGTTACTTGAGCTAAGTTCTGTTGACCAAATGCACCCTTCTGGGGTCCTGGAAAAATAAGATTTTATGTAGTTGTTTCAATTTTTTCTCTTGATTTATTTTATATTGTATATGTTTAGTATCTCTTGACTTTTGGGACAAGAAAGTAGGTACTCATACTTCATAATTCAATATTACAAACACATTGCTGACATAAGATCTTGCTGAAAATCAAACATTTGTCATAATTAAGCGGAATGTGCAAAGCTCTTATACGCAAACTCCTCCTAGAAGTCATTTTCAAATTTTACATGGTGATAAAGACCGTATCGGCGAGTGCTAAAATCTGGCATTAAAAATTCTCCCAGGAATCCGACCCAACTGGTCTTAAAGTTTCAATGTAATCCTTATGGAAGCAGTATTTGACGGATAAACAAAAGGCATAAGATCAGCTGTTGACTTAAATACAGCACATGAGAAAACAGCTTATAATTATTTTAACTGTTAATCACAGATATTAGAACAGAAACTGTGTGGATCATAAAAATATACAAATGACGTCACTGGCTCAAACCACGTGATTGGAATTTTTCTTCCAATTGTTTTGATTTTCTGTTAATATTTCGTTGGTTATTTAATCACCAGCATGGCAAACCATAAGGTCCATGTTATTTTTTTTTCAAATTCATTTGTTGTGCTTATTTTTGAGCCAGTATCTGTAGAGTTTCCCTGTGATACACACAAGCTGAGAAAAAATGTTTTCAAGAATCATGCTTGCCTATTTATATATACAAAATGTATAGACATTATAGACATTATGTATAGACATTATATTTTTATAGGTATAAGGGTTTTTCATCAATATCATCATAAATATGAAAATTGTTACAGTCTTTGTACATTGAACTGGTAAAATGTAAATTTAAATTTAAGAGACAGCCATGTCTATCGACACAAAGTTAGTGTGCACTTGATCCAACAGTTTTCAGATTCGGCTAATTATTGTGAATAATTTGTAAATAAATTAATGAATATTAATACTTATCTGTAATTTCCAAGAAAAGGAATAGTCAAGTGTGTAACTTACCTCCCATTAATTTCTTTAATATCATCTTCTGAACCCTCTGCAATGGAGACTCAAAGGCCAAATTAAGGAACAGAGCCAAGAAGAAGGCAAGGGAAACTTCTCCCAGGAGAGCTACAGCCTGTAAAAATTAATGGTATCATCAATCTGCCACATAATTTCTTCCATTAGTTTGTCAACAACCTTTATCATGGGCAAGCCGTAGGAGTGGGATTATCTGTGATATTATGGGGAGAATCACAAAAGTTGCAATATCTTTTGAACATTAATTTTTACAGCAATGGAATTTTTCTATTTTGTTTAGAACGTACTAAATATTAATAAAATACAGTCAAGCCGTAAAAAAGACCAGATTTTTCTGTTATTTTTTGGGAAAATCATATAAGTTGCAATAAACCTTTGAACTGTATTTTTTACAGCAATGGGTGTTTTACCATTATGTTGAGAGTTAAAAGGACTAATATACTAAATTTTCATCAAAATTGTTTAGGCCGTTTTGTTGAAAATCTGACTGTTATCAAAATCAAAATTAAAAAAATTAAAAACACCTGGAAATTCCATATGTTAGTAGTTACATGAACAATTTAATCAAAATTGAACCACAGGCGTGGTCTAGTAGCTCGGACAGACTGGTAGCATCCACACAGACAGATGTCCCTTTGAAAACAATTTTGAGGTTCAGGAGGACCCAAAAACGGATATTTCCACCCAAAACTCAAACTCCAAAATTTAGACAAAAACAAAACTTTCCCCTTGTATGTATAGGAGGAGAAAGTAAAATGAATAAACATTTTGTATCAATTAACTGAACTAGAAGTACCAAACAGTTTGGTCTGAGTTACTCTTATGATAAAAAAAACATGTTTATTGTCCTAATGGTAAAAACTCTAATTCAATTTTGTGTTTAAAATGTTAAACCTTCTTCTAATTTTTAGCTGTATAGCATTTCTTATTTCGATTACAAAAATAATAAACCAAAGACAGTAGATTTATTAAAGGTATTAGTCTCTAGAGATTGGTTTTATGTTTACCGCAAGCATGCGGCTGTGGTAGGGAGCCGTGCGTCTCTGCCCGACGGTGTACAACATGGGGATCGTATGGATGAGGAAGGCGCAGTAGACCAGTCTTCCTAGTGGAGCCCACGCTCTGTGTCTGAATATGGAACCCCACTTGCCTGAGAACATGAACAATCTGTTAGTGATGCTAGGTATTAATAAACCAACACATATGTATACTCCAAAATACAATAAAGAAATATACCTCATATCTTATTAGATACCCACAGGAGTCAACATGATATAGGTATATTTCAAGAACAAGTTTTCATAAACACAAATTCTTTGAAACTAATTTAGTTTTGAATAGTTGTTTATTCGGCAGTGACATTTGTCTGAGATTAGCACAGAATAATGAGAAAATTGTTAAGAGGTTGGCGATAAAATGCTCTTAAAAAAAGATTCAATTACATACTGTTAAAAAGTGATTATTAAAGTACAACTCATCTTACCTATTCCCTGGTTATAATCAATGATGATGTAAGCAGATATAGTGACAGCCCAGATGACTCTGTGTACAGCTACATACACCACACTCTCCAGCAGGCTGTACGGTCGTCCTTCCTCATAGAAGATGTAGGCAATGAATGTTGTGGACAGATTGAAAAATAATCCAATCGGTATCAAGAACACCAGTGTCCACTACAACAGAAAACAATTTTACTAGAGAGAATGTAACCGGGTAGCATAGACATTAAAGTGCTCATCTAAAGTCAGAAGGTCCACGGTTGAGCCTGTGAAAACTCACGAGCTTTTTACTTTTGGATGGTGTGAAACTGGGCCCAAACATACGTATTGATCATTGGGATTTTAGTATACAGTAAATGGACGTGGATGAATAAACATCTGATCTTAGTCAGCAGCAAAGCTACACAAAACATCTTACTACGTTCTACTCTCACCACTCACTATGCATTCTTATTATGCTTAAATTACTCTTACAAGTATATGAGTCACAGTCTTAAAGAATTGATTTATTGAATAAAATCAATCAACTCTTTAAGACAGTGACAAGTCTTTAGACTCAATTTTTAAAAATCCATCTCCTGGTAGTAAACTTTTTTTGTCAAGAACAATAATTACTCATGAAATATTACTTTATACAGGAATTATGGAAATTCTAATAAAAATGTAATTTTATTGCATATTTTATTGATAATGCATGGGCAAATGGTTATTTAAATTATAATTTTAAAAAGATTATTTGGAAAATGTAGTGTCAAAATATACATAGTAAAATTAGCATCAGGGAAGGCCAAGGTACTCACCCCAGAGAACTTGAAGCTTATTCTAGCCAGGTACTGTTGTAAGTAGCTCATGAGCATTCCCACAACATACGGCACAAACCTCACATGACTGGGGACGTACATGGTGCGGAAATGTTCATTTTTCACTGGGTCCTTCTGCAGCCTGCAAATATAAGCACAATTAAGATAGCTTGAAGAGCAGAATTAGAGCTTAATTATACAGTACTTTAAAGCACAATATATGTGTCAAAGAATGAAATTAGACTATTTCATGACTAGAAACTAAACTGCAAGAGTAGTACAACTGTCAAAGATAATCCAAAACGTAGGCAACTAAAACATATTTCACATAATATAGCATACCAATCTGTGGAAGGCAAAATTAGCTTTTTAAAAAAATTATTTAAACATTTATAAAATACCCCCTTGCATTAAATTGAAATTAAATTACGAGTCATATCCCCTGCAACTGGATGAATAATCATACTGTAGCATATCTAACAAATCTGACAATCTAAACTTTTTAATTTAGTGCCATCTAAACTTATTACAAAATTATAAAGTACATAGACTAAAGTATGTTGGTGTGATAAAATCATCAAGACAATTTAAAAAGTGCACAGTAGATTCCCTCTTCTTACAACACCTCAGTACCAAATCCTTATCCAAACGAACAAAAGTCTGAATGATCAGAATAAGATCCACTCAGAAACCTTTAATGCAGTATCCAACATTATCGGTCAACAACCAAGGATACAAGTATCAAGTAATACTTTACAACTCTCGCCATATTTAATTATTTCCCTTTTAAAATATAGTAACCTGAACTGAATTAAAAGTACTTAATTGATCAATGGACAATCACTTACTCGTGGTACAGTTGAACTACACCCGGGTATTGGTTGACATATGTGATGTAGGTAGGAATGGCAACAGAAGCTGCAAAGGCGATTCCTATGAGAGAGGCTCCGAGCTTAGGCCTCTTGTATGTGATGTAGATGAGAATGATGCCAATAATGAAGTAGTGCATGTCACAAGCCAGGTACCACGCTTGTATCATACACTGCAAACACCATAAATGGTTAAAAAAACTAACCCCAACTTGTTGTATTATCTTACTAATATTATAAATCTGAAAGTTTGTGAGTTTGTGTGTGTGTTTGTTGCTCAATCACGCATGAACTACTGGACGGATTGGGCTGAAATTTGGCATGATGATAGCTCACATTCCCGATTAACATTAAAGCATATTCTTATCTCAAAAATCCTTTCGGGCTCCGCCCCAGTGGCTCTGTAGTTCCCCATGTTAACCTTATGATTTTTCATATTTAAAAGGAATTAATGAATCTTAACAGCTGTTTCAATTAAACAAGTTGGTTCTGTTCTATGATGTTCAATAGCAAGGCCACACTAAAAAAACAGGCCGTAATGCTCGTCAAGCATGACGTCACGATAGAAGACGGCTATGACGTATAAGTACTTATTTATTTATTTTCCAATGAAAGATTAAAACAAGCAGCTGATCACAAACGCCAAAATTACGTCATTGCCGTCTTCTATCGTGACGTCATGTTTGACGAGCATTACGGCCTGTTTTTTTAGTGTGGCCTTGTCAATAGCATCAAAGTTACAAGGATTACCAACAGGGTGCAGCACTATTATTTTTTTAAATTTATGACAACAGCTAATTTCCAACCATAAGGTGAAAGAGCGTAGCGAACGAACTTCAACCTGGAGGCGAGTTAGCGTAGCGAACGAGCTAACCTGAAGGCAAGTGAGCGCAACGAACGAGCTCCAACCTAAAGGTGAGTGAGCGTAGCGAACGAACTTCAACCAGGACGTGATTGAGCCATGCGAATACTTATGAAGTTAAACGGGGCAAAGCCCGCGGGTACAGCTAGTTCAACATAAATCACAAAATTTTTACAAAATGGATACAGTATTCTTACTCTATGATATTTGTCAACCAGCAATGTCTAGCTTATTAGACTAAGACAAAACTACTGTGCTATTGTTTTTGGTAAGGAAATGTGTGTTCGGTATCTTATAAATGTATTCTAGTCTACACTGCACATGTGTATACAAAACCATAGTAAATAATAGCTCCAGAATGTATCTTTAACAGTTTCCAAAAATCTTACTGGTCCTTACCATCATTTGTCACACACTAACCCCATACTAGAAGAAGAAAATGTTATCCTCTACGTTAAATCTCAAATCTGAGTATGGAGAGTAGATGATTAGGCTCTCATTCTTTTAACTTTAACTTTAACTTCTGATATTTAAACTTTAACCCACATATCATTACCTACAATTTACACGAGAATTAACAAGTCAAAGCTACATAAAAGTACTTACAGTTTCCTCCACGTTGACATAGTTGTTGAGGAAGAGAACGTTGGCCCACCAGTTCTTCTGGCAACGCAGAGCTTCTCTCCAGACCAGCGAGTTCCACAGCGGACCGTTGCCAAGGTACGGCAACACAACAGCGTGGAAGGCGATGACCAAACCATACACGGGCAGTATCCTGTAACAAGACAGTCAGTCACAAAATAGGTTTGACATTAAAGAAAATTTGTAAACATTATGATTTAAGATAAATTTCAAGGTTGAAATCTCTAGAAAGGCCGTGACTTGAGGCCAAGGAGATGTGTGGCACAATTGGGCGTCCCACACAGCTGTTAGGTTTGACTAAGCAGTGGAGTGCTACAAATGACCAACAGGTAGATTCACCCAAAACCTCAACTCCTCCAAAAAAGGGATTAATTTGGAAAATTTTCTACGATTAGAGTATTTTGGAAATACAGTACAGCAATATTATTTGAAAAAAAGTTCTTTTACATAAGTCATTACCATAAGCAGTAGATGAGTGAAGACAAGTCCAGTGCATAGCAAAACTTCACATGGCAAGTTTTTCATTTTCAAACTTCTTACAAATTTGTTTTTCATCTCTCTGAACTTATTAGAGCAGAAGAGCATCATCTTACTGTAATGAATTGTGTGTATGCATAACAGTGCACTTTGGAACTGCGTATAACAAGGATTACATTTACTGGTACCTATTCGATTAATATAGGTTTGGAAACAGTTTTTCTAATCATGTTCTTCTTAGCTAAATGTATAAAAAAGTCCAAAAGTAGCTTATTCCCTATATGGAATTTTGCTAAAAGGACACACTAAAGCTAAACCATATGGAGAAAGAACTTAAAAAGGGTTTGTGACAAAGATGATTATAACTGCCTGGTTTTATTTGTTCCCACTTTTTAGTATGAACGCTCAAAATAACAATTTTTTTTTACTAATATTCACATTTTTGTATTCATTAAAATATTACCTGATGAACCTGCCAATAATAACCAAGAAAAGGTTGATATTTTGTCTCTTCTGAAGCTCTTTGGTTAAAAAGTGAGTTGTGAGAAAACCACTGAAGACGAAAAAGGTGTCAACAATGTAATTGCCTCCGTTGAGGAACAGCATGGAGGAAACATAGTTTGGGAACTGAAACATGGAATAACACTAATATAGTACAATCATTGACTCTAAGCTTGGGTATTGAATTAATAACTTGCAAAAAATGCATAATATACTGGTGCTATTAAATAAATAAACATTTATACACACTTGACGCTAAGTAGCAGATCCAATGTCCGTGACAGCAACAAAAATTCCCATTCATTAAACTAAGGAAACCATGGATAGATAGCTAGTGTTACAGCTCATTCTACAATGAAGATTGCTATGGATAATATTGAAGATAATACCAATGATTGCTATAGATTATTATCCATAGATTACCGTTTCAATGAAGTAAGGGTTCTGCACTGGTTTCCCATTGAGGTACATCTCTTTGTGGCCTAGGATCACACAAGTCATGCTCAAATACTTGAGGCAATGCAGCAGTTTGAAGTCTGCATCAGGGTTGGTCTTGCACAGCTTTCTCATGTTGGAATATGTAGAGAAAACCTTGATGAAACTCCCTACAAATAACAGGATATTAGCAATTATTTGGAAGTGATTATTGCCACTAAACTCTATTTATTACTTTTCTATATTAGTTGTGTTGTAATTTAAACTATTTAACTGTGATGATTCAACCTTCCATCGGATGCAACACGGAAGTTACCTCCGGGTCACTACTTTTTTTGTTATAAAAACCATAGTATGTGTTCAGCAGGGCTGTCGCCTGATTTACCTCACACACCTCTTTTGCGGAATCGGTTTTGTCCACCCTTTCCCAGTTGTCAGTCAACCTAGGGGGTGGTTCATGTCACTACTGGAAGTAGCTTTCGCGTATGTTTTATGTCTTACACTATTAGGCCAGTCATATTAGGTAAAAATACCCCTCTACCTGGAAATAATTCCCTAAAAGGGGAAACTTTGCATATGTGTAGTACTAGCACCCAGTAACAACATATCAAAAATCAACACTCGTGCATGCTGTGCTACGGCCGCCATCTTGGAAAATGGCGGCCGATTTTCACTTTTTTGACCATATTTCACTAACCGTTGGATGTACAAAAATTTTGTTGATACAAAAGTTGAAGAGCTTAAAAAATACATATTTTTACTATTTAAACTTTTGTCATATCTCTAACGGTTATCGAGAAAACTTAATTTAATAATAACAAAACTTGAATTTTGTTTGAATTTCTGCAGATCAAGTCGAAAATTCAATTTATCACGATCTTTAATCTCCAGGATTTGGCATTTTAGCATACTTATGAATAAAATAAAATACATTTATTAGTTACAAATGATATTTGAACATAATTATTTTCAAATAAATAAGTAAAACAGTTATTAATATTACATTTTGATTTATTTATCTTGTTCGACCATCTTGGATTCATCAATTACCACCTCAGGCGAATTCTCGCATGACAATCCCTCATATTTACCACACATTGCTGAACAACGCAGACCTGCCCTTTTGCACTCGCAATAGTCAGAACACCTCTTACAGTTGCAAGAAATGACGTGCATAATTCTCTCGGGTGCTGGTGGAAGAGTCGTTGGAATAGGTTGTAGTGATTGTCAACGAAACTCCAGTCCCACTGACACGGATCTAAATCATGCCCAAGCCATTTTTGAACTTGGTGATAAACACGGAAGCTGTGTTGGGAAGCAGCAACTGATGTTGGGTGTAGCGTTGCCAAATAAAAATGTGCTTGCAGCCTTTTCTTAGCAGTGTATTGGTGGTATATATAAAACCTATGCTCATCCAAGGTTTTATTCTCTGATTTACCATACAATGCAATTGATAAAAGTTTCTCTTGCTACTGCAATTTGCTCTTTGGTTGCATCTCTCGAATAGAATGGAAAAATTGATTAAGTGCCTTGACCCATATTTAATGTTAAGGTAAACTGATGTAGCAACATGAATTGTGGAGTGAAATAACCGTGGCCTGCAAGTAGCAATGATCGCATGATTTATTGTCACTTGTTTCCTAAATAGACCTTTCGGACACTTGGCACTTTTTAGCTTCGTTACGTTATCGGTAATAGTATAGGCCTATTTCGTTCCTAGGGCCGAAAATGAGGTTTTGCTGGATCGAGATAGTTTTTAAGTTTGGACGAAGTCGAGAACTTATATCGATCGAAAGCTGCAAAACCATTTCGGTCCGTGGTACGAACGCTATTTTTCACCACACTATACCCTATTACCACTATTCACCACTATAATAATGCACACTGATAGTCAACACAACTACAACTTTAAGGTTATGTGAAGAAATAATTTGAGGAATCAGCAAAAATAAAAGTAAATAGTTGCTAAGAAACGATGACAATAACACAATTCTATTGAAATGCTATGGATTTTGATTGTGTATTTAAAATGCATTCATGTTTTAAGTAAGTAAGCGGGCAGCGGGCAGCAGATTTTGCGGCCCCGGGCTGTAAAAACCTGCTCGGTCCTCAAATTACGATGACAGCTGGCATGGCCAGCAAATTGTCCAGCCACCAATTAACGTACAGCCAAAAACATCATAGTGTGGTGAAAAACACTTAAGTGTCTCTGGGATTACACTCTGGCCAAATGTCAGAAAACTTTAAAACCTAGGGGACAATTTTAGTGTTTAATTGCCAAAAATCAAACAAGGTGTTGTCTGTATCAATTTATTATTGTTATTATTACGTTTTTCTCGATAACCGTTAGAGGTATGACAAAAGTTTAAATAGTAAAAATGTGTATGTTTATAAGCTCTTCAACTTTTGTATTAACAATATTTTTGTACATCCAACGGTTAGTGAAATATGGTCAAAAAAGTAAAAATCGGCCGCCATTTTCCAAGATGGCGGCCGTAGCACAGCATGCACGAATGTTGATTTTTGATATGTTGTTACTGGGCGCTAGTACTATATATATGCAAAGTTTCCCCTTTTAGGGAATTATTTCTACGTAATAACCTAATATGACTGGACTATATATACTCATATACTATAGTACTGTATGTACAAAAAGTAAGTCTTTTTTATCCACAACACTTACGTATTTTTATTGTTTATAATGACATTTTCTATTTGATATACAAGTACAACTTAAATAATAGTGTAATAACTCATAAAAAATGTTTTTCTTACAGTTTTATTGCTATTAAAATGTTTTTTACTCATCATTGTATAGTTTTTGTACTCCCGGAGGTAACTTCTGTGAGCGCTCTTTGGTGTTTGAAAATCAATGCGCCCGACAGAAGGCTAATTACCGCTTGGCAGGATGTAAAAGAATAACTTAATACATTACTATTTCAAAATGAAATTTGATAATCATACCATTGTAAGAACTATGGTGTTCTGTTTTCATTGTGATGGTTGCGTATCGAATAAAAAATTATGATAACCAACATGAATTTAACTGCTAAAATTTCTTTCACTATACTGTTCGTATCGTTAATTTTTATTTTCTACAAGAGTAGAAAGTTTTACATCATTTTGATGAAAATATTTTCACAATAAATTAGATTGATGTAATATACAGTGTAGGGATTTTTTAATGGGATATTGTACTTACTAAGAGAGCGCTTAAGCATGGCCTCGTCTTCGGTGGCGTAGTCAACCAGAGTAGCAAGCGTACATAGACCGAACATTAGGTATATGAATCCCCTGCAAACAAATACCAAACTAATTATATTTTGAATTTTTAGAACCCAGATTATTAGTGATACCCAAATTATTGTGACATTTTAGCAGATAGTATATCTATCAAAACACAGTGCGGAAGCCCAAACTTACACCACAATGTAGTATCCCATGGAGTAAGCAGGAGCCTCCCAGATGCTGTAGCAGTCGCTGGGGTTGATAGTGATGTCGGACAGGATGCCTTGTTGTCGTAGAGGGACAGACAGGCTGGTGTTGAGAGAATCCTGGATATCTTGAGCTCTACAGGACGACGGCACACAGACAGCCCAGTGAAGGACATCCCTGCGTATTATACGAGGGTCCTGTGTTGTCTAGAGCAGAAATTTATTTTTGTTCATTGTAAAATGAAATATTGTAATGTCGATTGATACAGGATAGTACGGTATAGCATCAAAAATAAGTATAAAAAAAAACATTCTATGTTTAACAAAAATAGTTTGAAAATGCTACCCCTCTCATCAATTTGTAAGATTTTAAACCTAGGCTATACACAGAGTTAATAAAAAGTCAAGACCCCCCCCATCTAATATTTTTCTAAGTAAATATACAGAGATATCCTTCTGGTGGTCAAGCAATCTTAGCGGGAAGTCATTATATGATTTTGAAAATTTTCCACCATTCTTTAAGTTTTTGTCATGAAATGAAAGTTCGGGCTTAGATTGCACGACTACCAAAAGCATATCACTGTATATTTACTGAGAAAAATATTAGATCGGGTTGTCTTGACTTTACGCAAGGATTTCATAATATATTGTAAATAACATCTTGATTAGCATTGTCTCAGAGAGGTGTTGTTAACTTTATGGAAAGTAAATAAAAAACTTTCAACACTCTTGAAACATAATATATTTACACTTTGTACTGTTAACTCGCAAGAGGTTAATGCAAATAAATGGTAACAGGTGATCAATTTCGATTCGACACTCATTATCATTATCATTCGAGATGGGAACACCACCTGTGCGTAATTAAACCAAAATATGAGTGTAGAATGGAGTTTGATGCCTTCTGTAGCTTTGTTACTGACTATGACCAGCTGTTTCCTTAGTCGGAACCAATTATTGAAAACCCAATGATCAAGGAAAACTGGGTCCAGATTCAAACCATCAAAAAGCTACACACCAAGCTACACAGCTAAAAACAGGCGAACTTTTGATTACTAGGCGAGCACTATAACCTCTGAGCTACCCAGCTAGTCTCCAATCATCATCAGACCCAAAGGGCGAGTCATCACGAGAACTTACTTGTTTGTTTTACCTTGTAAAAAACACGGTTTCAAATTGAAAATATGTACCATAAACTAAAGAGAACAAAATAAGTAAAAAAATGCATAATTACAACAATCAAAATACTTTCAGTGTAACAATATCAACATTAAATAAAAAGACTTATTAGATGTCTCCATTATTTTATCTACCAGTACTTATCGTACCTTAAGTTTCTGCCAGACAGAAGCGTTGGATGGAAGACCAGTGTACAGCTGTGAAGGAGGGTCGTACCACCTGGGGTACAAGTCGTGCTCAGGTCGGAACGCAATCTTGGCCAGACAGTACTTGCCCGTGATATGTTCCTCGGGAACGTCTATGCTGATGCACTCGTCAAAGTGGCCAAACTGGAAAGTGTCTGCTGAGATGAACCCGTTGGGCGCGAGTGCTGACGCGTCAAACACTGGAAAACAGGAAACAATGTAACTAATGTAAGCACAAAGGAAGACAATGGGTTGCTGGATTAGTGTTTAGCGTTTCTGACTAAGTTTAGCGAGAGGAACAGGAGACAGGTTCGATTTCCGGTACCTCGATTTCCTCCTGTGCTATATACTACCTCCTTAAAAATGCCACAGGTGTAGACAATGACAAAAAAGAAGTAACACTTGGCCAGAAAACTGACCAGATATTTTAAAAGGATTTTTCAACCTTGCCTGTCCACATGGGCCTTTGGTCTGTCTGTGGAACGTATCAAAGCAAGGGACAAATTACGTGTTTGGAATTTTTATCCCTGACGCAAATGCCATCCCCAATGATGAATAATAAAAATGCAAACACGAATAACCGTAAATCAACGACCTCAAACAAATGGTATGTGAATCCCCAGATAGTTAAATTCTTAATGAGGAGATACATTTATTATATTATTCCATTCATAATGAATGTGCAGGGTGTTTCCAAATCGTCTAGACATATTTTATGAACTTGTTCCTTGGGCTACGAGCTACGACAAACATAATATGCCATATAAGTATGGGTCTAAAACTGCCACAATTTCGGTCTGTCGGTCTGTTTGTGATTTTTAAAAATTATTTTTTATATCAATCATTTTTTAAAATAGACATTTACAAATTTTCTATAAATGTATAGTTTAGAAGGTAAAAAGAGCTTAACAATTTTTGTTCCAATATCTCAAGCCATTTTAATATGGCGGCCATTTAATGTCTTTAATGCCAAATTTCCTGAAAACCATATCCATTAAGAAATTTGTTTTTGCAGTCAAAAATATAGAGAATTTAAATACAAATCAAATGATACTTTGTTTGTTAAAATCGGATGACAAACAACCGAGTAATCAGTGATTTTTTCCAACATTCTGTTACGCAATTTAAATGGACTACCATATACTACTCTTATTTTAGGTACTATTAAATTGTGTAACCGAATGAAGAAAAAACTGATAATTCGGTGTTTGTCATCCGATTCTAACAAATATGGCCACATTTGATTTTGATTTATATTCTTTATCCTTTTGATCATAAAAACAATTATCTTAATATTTACGGTTTTCATGAAATTTGGCATTAAAGATTTTAAATGGCTTGAGATTTTGGAGCAAAATTTTTAAAGCTCTTTTTAATTTCTAAACTACACATTTATACCAGTTTTGAAATTTTCTATCTTGAAAAACGCACAAGATATAAAATAATTTTAAAAAATCACAAACAGACCAACAGACAGAAATATAGGCATTTTAGACCCATACTTATATAGCATTTCATGTTTGTCTTTAGCCCAAGGAACAAGTCCACAAAATATATCCAGACAATTTGGAAACACCCTGTATAAAATAAGTCCCCAATTAAGAAGTAATAATTATGTTGTATCTGTTAAAATGGGGTTCCTAGATTTTTGTTTTCTCAAAATCCATTGTAAACCAAACTCTTTCTCAAGGTCTTGCAGATTAACAAACAGAAACTTAATTTCTCAATATGAAGGTACAAACTAAATTGTATCTTTGTTTGTCCCATTAGTACAGAGAGAAGAAAACATGTTGTACAGTAAGACAAGACAAATGACTACAGCCTTGGTGTTAAAGTTCGACCTTGCTCTTATCATGGATAGGTCGGATGATCAGCAAAACTACTTTACTGACAGATCAGCTGATCAGCTGGCAGAGACACAGACAATCAAACACAATGACAATGACACCTAGTAGAGTGGCTAGGACATTGCAGCCCACTAGGAAGTATTCATATTCATGACTAAATCAATGACAGATGGATTAGTTCACTGATAGGCCACATACGTGGGTGTATAACTGCTGCATCTTTTAGGATAAGTCATCATAAAGTAATTTTCGTTCTGGATGGAATCTAGAGGTAGTATTGTATGATATTTTACAGCTGATAAGTAATTTGTTTAGATACATTTATGAGTTAACAAGTTACAAATCCGTTCTAACAATATTAATTTGTCTCAATTACCTTTTTGGTTTTTTTTTACCTTGAAGTTCTTGTAGTTTTTTTATGTCTGATGCCCATTTCGCCACAGGTTGGCATCTTCAGAGTTCACTATCTTGAAGATGCCAACCTGTGGCGAAATGCGCATCAGACATAAAAAAACTACAAGAACTTCAAGGCAACAAAAACCAAAAAGGTAATTGATTAAAACTGTTCTTGAAACTGGGTTATATCACAAATTAATTTGTGTATCATAAATTATTTAAAACTCACAAAGTTGATATTAAAACAGTTTTAAAACTTTATTTCCTTTTTAGTTTGCGACAATTTTTTACGTTGCAATAGCCCACTCGGGCTTCGAAGGTAAGTGCTTTGCGTGCATCAAGAAAAGCAAGTAGACAGGTACAGTACAACAAGGAACTGATATACAGGGTGTATACAAACTCTCTGGAGCGCTATTGTATATTTGTTCCTTAGGTCAAAGTAAACTTCATACAAACATGGGTGCCTGGATTTTTGTCTGTATGCGATGTTCACTAATGTATCCATCACTTTTGAACCCCTTAAACCATTGACCATCCAATTCTGTGCATAAGTAGTGAAGTGATAGATAGGATCAACTTTTGTACAAAGTATCAGATTTCTAAATTGTACCATTTTAAAATGTTGGCCATATAACATTTTCTATCAAGAATATCTTAAAAATAAGTTATTATACTCAAATTTATTAGGAGCAATCTGTTAGGAAATTTTATGTCCAACCCAACGATGGTTTAGTTGTAAAATCGGTCAATAAACAACTAGGATATTACATTTTTGCCAGTGAGGCCGTGCATGGCCCAGACCACTGCCGTACCTCACCGACACCGACGCGAGGTGGCTCCGCCATGGGGAAAAATTAAGACATCATAACATTGACATAACGGTCTCACAAAGAATGCAATATCTTGGTTGTTTATCATCCTATTTCTACGATAGAAGTATCGTTGGATTGGTCATAAAATTGTCTAAAAACGCGCTCGTAATCGTTTTTAGTAGAATCACTCGTTTTCAAGATATTTTTAATCTAAAATTTAAATGACCACCATTTGAAATAGATAAAACTTAGAAATCTGATACTTTGTACAAAGGTTTATCCTATGTGTATGCACTCATGCACACATTTGAATTTTGAGTAAATCGCTTAAGGGGCTCAAAAGTAATGGATACATTGTGAAATCGCATACGGACGTACATATAGGAAATCATGCATTTTGACCAATGTTTATATGATGGATTTTCTAATTTTGACCTAAGGAACAAATTTACAAAAGCGTTCCAGATAATTTTTTCATACCCTGTATTTATAAAAATAATTCGCGCTGATAATAGTTGCAGAACCCACCTTGGTCTCACGACGCCAATTAGCGTTGTACCTTTGATTCAGTTCAGTAGTAGAAACCAAATTTGAAATTTATCTACGAGTAATAAGTGATGCCACTTGACTGATTCAAACTAGAATTAACGTACAACGCAATATAGTATCTCTGACCAAGCAGAACCCTTCAAAATACATTAGGAATTTTACAAATAATTAGTTATTCTATCCGAATACGTTAAAAATATAAATAACTAAATATTTAAAAGGTTATTGCATATTGAAATAAATCCGAAGACTTTAGCAATCCGCTCGAGATACGATGGAAGTAAAAGTATAGACTACTCTAGCCTAACCACTTACATTTTACAACAGATAACACAAACTTTGAGTCTAAATAACGTAGCATAAAACGTACTACTGTATCAATTCAAAAGCTCTTTATGAAGATTCGTAAGCAAACCTAGTTTTATGAATGATGCTCATTATAAAAAAATATCAAAGCCAACAAGATCGACCTTAAGTGAAAGTTACATTGTTCAATGTCCGGATACAAGCATCATAGGTCGGTGATTTGACCTTCAAACGTGACAGAAAACATAAACAATAAACTATTTGACTTCCTTCTCTAAAGTATGGCCGTAGGCTTATGATTGGGCATCTGTTGAAGACATTCCACAAATAACACGCTCGTTAAAAATACAACTAATATTAAAGGTAACGTTTTACAAATTTGGGATTTATTCTTCCACTCAAATTCTTGAAAGAAAAGTAAGTAATGTCCAATATAAATTAACCAATTTTTACCAACACGGTTTGAACACAGACTATTTAATGTAATATGCAATCTTTCGGTGATAAATAAATATTTGCAATAAGAATTATTTTAAGTTCTTAAGTTGTGTTACTTTTATATTAGTATAAACAAATAATATTTTTATAAGTTCGACTATTTTAATTACATAGTAAACCATCATTTTAACAATTTAATGGATGTACAGCAAACCTATCTCAGTTTTTCTAGCATAGTCGCGAGAAATACTTCTTGGGTTTTTGAAAACCACAATTCAACTCAGTCCTAAAACATTAGCAACGAGTTTTATATGTAAAAGAATAAAAATAGTGATAAACCGTTGAAGTCTCTTTGGGAACAGTTTTTGGCTTTTCACATTATGTTAGAAGATGATAACCACTTACCATCTTTAGTGTATATTTACCGTCTTGTGAGTAACAGTACAAGCTTAAATATATGTTTTAAGTGTTATAAGACTTTTTTTTATTTACTTTCCGTAAGATTATAACGTATAGAATAAGTACCATAGTTAAATATTAAGCTATCTGCTAGATGCCGTCTCAATTTGGCATGCTTTAGAAAATGGTGAAATTTGCGTTACAGTAGTGAATTAATGGTTTAAAATGGAACAGGTTGGTAGTTTTGGATTTTTAGTTATTTGACAAGTGGCCGGAAACACCTTGTAAAATATCACATCAGCAGATGAGATCTTTAACGACTAACTCCGCGTTAAATCTGGAAAACTAATTTGCTTGTGTTTGTGACCAAGTTCACATAATAGCTTGAGGCAAATGTCTATCTTCAAGGGATCTATTCATGCTATACATGTTATCTAAAACGAAAATGATAATGATCTTCATTTAGAAAGATGATTTTGAAGAATATTTTTTCAAAGTCATTAGGTTGTTGATTTTAAATTCACGTCAATCTTATTTCCTTTTGTATTTTCCTGCCTTAATTATATGTATTAATAATAGAAATGTCTTATCAAAGACATTAGGTTAAAAAAGTTCAACCGTAGAATATCGATCGTTGAACATTCATTATATTTGAAATATATGAAGAATGTATAAACTTAAATAGAGATAACAAGTCTGCTGAATACAATTCAAGGCATAAAAATACATAAAAAAACTTTGTTATGAGTTTTGATGCTACAGGGAAAGTGGTTTTTGATTACATGTTAACAATATTAAAAGAATAAATTTAAAAAATTTGACCAAAATATATAAACAAGCAAAATACTACGGTTTTCTGTTCCTCCTTAGTACAACATAAGAATTTTAGATGTACAGTTTTTTGATTTTTCTCCCTAACCTTTGATTGTACAACAACGGTTCTATCTACAATTTTTTGTAATCTGTACACGATGGCTTTATTAAAAATTTAGCATTTCCATGTTTAACGGGAAAAAATAGTTTTTGAAATTTTGTTTACCTTATAACACGTCGTTTCCATAACCAGATCCTGCTGGTTCACGAACTCATTCAAGTTGTTTATCCCAATCTAAATCCTTTAAGCCTAATTTAATAAAAATTGGACAAAAATTACTCGAGTTATCGCATTTACGGACACATACGAGTTTGATCGAATAGTGTTTTGGAAAATGAAAAACAAAACACAAATCAAAATGAAAATTAAAAAAAAAAATCCAACCTAAAAACTGAATGATAAATCGGGTCCGAACTCTTATCGTGCTACCTACCGTATTTCTTCCCTTTACAATTTTAATTTGCTAAAATGTAAACAGTTTACAACTGGCCCCTATAGCTAGGGTATCGTAATTCAGCGCCTACTGCAAAGCTAACTTGTCAAAATTCGATTAAAATAAAAAGAAGATAGAACTTCATTAGTACGACACAAAAAACTTCGATTACAAAGAGGATAAAATCTATCTACAGCTTTGGATATTTAATTCAGTACCGTACTTGTCCTAGGTCAACAATGAAGATAATCAAAACAATTGCTTTAAAATGGAAGTCACTGAAGCACACATTTAAACAGATTGTACGGTATGCAAACAATGCTCCAGGTGATATTAAGATGCTTTGTTATTCAACAGTCTCCCACCCTCATAGTAATAAGGAAAAAAAAACTCGTGAATCTTGTCACCTCC